GTCGTCAAAGAAATCGCCATATCAGCGGAATGACGAAATAAACAAAAATTTCCGAACACAATTTTTTAGAACAACTATTTTACTGTATAAAAATGATATTTTCATAAATATAACTTAAAACCAGCAGGAGCACAACTCAAAAGCGTGAAGGTACCGCGATTTAAGATTTTCCTGAATAACTCTTACATTATTTTATTGTTTGTTAATTTTACAACTTTACCATATTTTGCATGCACTGGAGAACATTTAGTGAAAATTTGATGAAAATCGGACTGATATTGAGCACGCAGTAGCGATTTTCCGCAAAACGCCAAAAAGGGTGTCCTGTAACCTTAAATAAGGATCAGTGCTGGAAAAAACAAGTACCATCGGATCGTTAACGTTAAGTTTATGTTCGTCACAATGAGGAGCATCTTTAATCCAAATTTGTTTCCATATTTTCTCAAATTCCTTATTGCATCTCCATGCATCTTCCATGTCATGACGTGAAGTAATAAACTCTCTTGTAGAGGTGTGCAAATCCGATCCGAATCCGATCGGATTTCGGAACAAAAATATACATTTCGGATCGGATTGATAAAGTTGTTTCGTAGTCGGATCGGACTTCGATATTCGAAATAAAATGAATTAATTATCCACGTATTATCGCAAGAATTAAATATCCATGCATTTATTAAAGCATTATCGCGGATGTCGCTGCATTATTCGTTTGATACTTCAATTGGACGTCACTTTGTCAGCTTCTTGACATGTATTTCTTGCTTTTATATTTATTTGGTTAAATATTTCAACTTGAATGAGAAATTTATTTTATTAAAGGATTCTTCCGATCGTATCGGAATTCTTTATCAAAGCTCGGATCGCATTCGGATTAGACAATTTCGGATCGGATCGGATTTTAAACATTAGTCAATTGTCGGATTATAAACGTCCAATCCGATCCGATGCACACCTCTACTCTCTTGCTTTCTTAAGAAGCTCATCAACATTTTGTCAACATCTTGTCAACGTTTTTCATCAACATCTTGTCGATTCTGCAAATAACGAAAGATTTCAATACAATTCTTAGTTACATCCATCACCAGATTTTCTTTGTGTTGTACAATCTTATTCATAACATTTTCCCTCCATTGTTCCAGGATTGACTTATCCTCGTTTGTTTCAAAAAATTTCTTCATTGCTTGTTTCATTTTTTTCCCGAGTGCCTCAGCTTCGTCGCGTATCTGCATTTGACTGGAACTCCATACATTAAAACGTTCGTCTAGGGTTGTACTTCTCCTGAGAGCTACTTGAATCTTTTTTTCAAGCTCACCCATTCCTGTCACCATCAGATTCACGGATTCTTCGAAATATTTTCGATCTAATGCCGTATATGCTCTCACTTCAATCATATTGCGGAAGCTGGATATTAAATTTCCCTTAAGTATGGCTTTCCAAAGAATAATGACCCTCTCTCGAAACTGGGAGATGGAACTTTGTGAAGAGGAAGCACTCATCAACGAAATTACGTCTTCTTTCACTCTTTGAATAGCTCTTCCATAGTTAGGGCTTACTGGAGCCATTGGTGGACTGCCTTTGAGAAAGCTTGGTACATAAAATACATCTTTGTTCTCATCAAATGAAATAATATCATTTAAACTTTGAATTTGGTCTTCACAGTTTTCTTGAGTGGCAGCAACCTTGGCCATTTTATCGAGGTCCTCTTTCAGTTTAACACGGTCGAAGGCCAATTTTGTTGTCGCATCGGTAGCTGCAACATTCTGGTGAACAATTTTACAAACTTTCTTTTCTTTGACAAGTTTCATCTTCAAAAATGCATGCACAGCTATTTCCAAGAATTCTTTCATTTCATTATGATTTTCACCAAAAATGTTCACGATTGTTACATCGGCTACACCAATTGCAAAAGTTGCCAACTCATTGTCATGCTCTCGCAACTGTGGATCTCCAGATCCTCGAAGACCTTCTGTGTCAATGATCAAAACATAATCGAAATTTGATGCCGTCTTCAAAGAATCACTAACAGGAATAAGACTGGCAAAAGCTCCGCGAGTACACCTACCAGCACTGACTGGGAATTCTAGTCCAAACATTGTATTTAACATTGTCGACTTACCCGAACTTTGAATTCCTAGAACTGAAATAACAAATATCTTGGCGTTGTTTGTCTTGCTTTCTAGTTTAGCATAGACAGCATCAAACCATCGCATTGGAATATAGGAGGAATCGCCGTCTACTAGCTCGAGAGGGTGCCCTGAAAGCAACATCTCCGCTGCCGCACCTTCATAGTCGTTTGTGCTAATATCTGAGAGTTGGTACAACTGCGCAAGTTCTCTAAGGATGTGTTCTAAACCAAACGAGCATTTTGAGATCGATTCTTCCAATTGTTTTAAATTTTCTTCTTCGGGCGACGTTGCTTCTTCCGCTTTTCTCGTTTGGAGATTTATAGAAGCAACATGATATTCTTCATGCAAAGTAGCCATGTTCTGCAGGGACATCTTGTTTAACTGATGCTTTAGCTTGGCTAAAGCATAATTTCGACCACTTTCATCCATCAGTGCAATATCATTAAGACATTGACTAATCCTTTCGTCCATGTCAGTAAATGATTGCTTTTGCTTGTTCTTTTCTTCTTCCACCTCTGCATAAATCTCGTTCAAATCTCGGTCAATGCGTTTACCTTTGGATTTGGATTTGTTCTTGCGTCTTGGGCAATATATTTCACGTTCCAAGCCAGCCAATACCGGAACGTGCGTTTGTAATTTGAGCAGGTCTTTGGCATCCTTGGCTCCCAATTTCAACCAACTGTCCACCCTTTCTTCGAATCTCGAACGGGATAGGCTGCCGTCAAAGTGGATATCATATTCACTCGCACGAGACGCAAGCTCCACGAGAGGTACAGCTTCAACTGCATTTATATTCTTCTGTATGTTCTCTTGTATGCTTCGCACAAAGTCGTATTCATTCCATTTTTTGGCATAGGTTATCAAGGTTACCTGTTCACGGTTTCTTTCTCTTAAGTCACTGAAGTATTTTTTTGCTCCTTCTTGGGTTTTTTCGTTGAAGATAATTATGACTTTTGCTTGGGAAGTCGTTGCCATGTCCAAAATTACTGTTTTGGTTTCATCCAGATATTCCGACATCATTAAGAGACATAATACGGATGAAATCTTTGACATGAAATCTAGCTGCTTTTTGAAATCTCTGCCGTCTCCTCGCAGATTTGCAAAGCAAATTTCATTCTGTAATGTTTGGTCCTCGCTTCCGCCAGGAAGATACCAGGCCATTTCAACCAATCCATCGACGATTTTTCTTTCAATGTTGCCACCTATCATACCTTTGTGAAAAAACACGTCATGAGCTCCGCTGCCGTCGCTCATAATTTTATTTATCAACGATGATTTTGGTATAGTATTTTTGCCAATGCGAATGAAAGAGACCACAGGAAACGGAAATTCCGTTGCGAACACTTGCTGTGCACCGTTGCTGTTGTTGAAAGAACCTTTCCAAGATTTTGTGATGCTTCCTAACGCCGTGAGCAAAATTGTGACATTTTCCGAAGGCGCCACAGGGTCTGGCAGAAGAAACGGAACACTAAGCTGACAAGCAGACAATTTTGTGGCAATATCTCGTCGCAAAAAATCATCGGAGCAGTGAAAAATAGCCAATAATGCATCCATCGGATTGATTCCATATTCAGTATCGCTATCATCAGAATCACTATCTGCGCTTACACATTTTAATTTAAATTCACGTGCATGATGATTAACTATCATTAGTGTTTTCAAGATGTAATCAGGAATTTGATCTGGGGATGTTAGCTTGTTTGCTTTTAGTGTATGATTATCAACTGTTCGTGCTTTTTTTAAAGTTAATTTTGAATTAGATTCTAAATTCAGATCTGAAAGTAAAGTGCGATATTGCAGTGCCTTATCTGCTACAATATTACGATTCGAATTTTCATCCTCTTCGACTTGCAATGCGGACTTGTAATCTTTCATCTTACGTTGTGCATTTCCAATGTTGTTATAACTTCTTGTAGTGACAGAATGGATTTCTTGGTACAATTTTAATCCGACTTGAAAATCTTTTTGTTTCGATGCCAATCTTTGAATCTAATAACATAATGTTGTACTGTTCATCTGGCTGAAAATGCTATTTGTATATAGGTAATAACATGGCTTCGAGTGCAATTTGGGTATAACATGCACCCCGAGAACGGAAGGACGAGTGCTATTTGAGGTCTTTGAGAAACTCACGAGTGCATGTTTATCCAAATTTCACGAGAAACTATGCTATTACTTTTCAATAATTTACATGAAACTATGAATATTGCCTAACTGAATATTGGAGACAATGCCAATTGTAGTTTTAACTTTATAGCGAACATTCCACTGGCAAAGTTTTCCTGGCTTTGTTACATCACATTATATAACGTTAGAAAATTCCACTCAACTATGCAAGTTTTGTTAGTCTTGTTTAAGGTAAAGGCTTTTCCATTTAAAAAAAAATAAAAGTCATATTTTTCAACCGAATTCAACTTTTACTTTATGTAGCGCGGCGCCGTGTTTGTTTTGTCTTGAAGCAATCTGTGACCGGTTGATTTTATGGGTTGAAGCAATCACATTGTTTTTCCACCAATCAGATCAGTTTGTTACAGATTTTTGTACTGTGTTACAGAAAATTACACTGTGATTACAAAAAATTGCACTGTGATCACAGAAATTGCACTGCTATTTGGGATTAAATGCACTGAAATCAACCAATCACAGTTGAGTAATATTTTTATGTATATTACTTTATTTTATTTTTTCTTGTAAGCAAGGCACTCAATTAATCGCGAGCAATAAACTTTATTAATTCATTACTAGAAAGGAATCCGTTTTGTTGTATGTGTTATATTAGTGAAAAAAAACTTGAAAGTATGTTTAGTGACAAAAGATATAAATGACAAACAAATTGACAAGGTGGGAAAATACATTTGGTGCAGTAAGTACCATGTGAAATTCTATTAATCTATTCGACAGTATGGTCGTTTCGACGCGTTTCCGTGCTGTGAACCCATGAGTGGTTGTAAATTATAATAAACAATTTCAGGAACTTGTGGTACCTTCAAACATTTCATCCCGATGCAAACATTCAAAGATTTATGTATTCAGAAACATCAATGAGATTAGCAAGTTTACCGCCATTTACAACATTTACTATGGTATAAAACGTTTTTTTGCAAAGTAATGATAGAAATTCTTGGCATTACGGATTCTGTAGCTATCTATTTTTTTAAGACTCTTATTTAGAGTTTTTTCTTGTCTTGCCTGTTCTTATATTATCACTCATGTTATATTTTGAGCAACATACACATCACTAGGCTGAGTAATTGTGCATCACTAGTTGAGATTTCTATCAAAACAAGAACATATATACTATATCTTGCAAATAATCCAACTGATTTAACTGAGTGTGTAATCACAACTAGTGCTTTGTTCCTTCTGAATTTAACGCTTCTGAGTTTTTCTCAACAGAATGGCTGCTCCCGCCGCCTCACGTTGCCGCCCTGTTTATACGTGCGAAATCTTTATCGAGTTTATTCCTCAAATGTTTATTTACCTGCATTGTTTTCTCTAGGTCACTCTCTGTATCATCTGTTACAATATTTTTCACGTCCTCACAAAGATTATTGTTGATATGAAGTCTGCATCAAAACAATATTAATGTGTTTGAAACATTATTATTACACTATTTTGCCAATGCAAATTTGTTCCTGTTATGCTCTTCTTAGATAGAAAAATATTACTCTTTTTACACGATATTGTCAGCGTTTCCATAAACTATGCATTCGGTTATATCTTCAGGAAAAATTTACATAGAGCCACGTATTGTGGCACTGGGAACGAGGCAGGGCTTCTTTTAACATATAGACTGGGGGGACGTGTCCCCCTAACCCTCTTACTGGCCCCTCCAGTCGGCAATTTTGCCCCCCCCCCCTCCCCAGTGAAAGCTCCCTAAGAACTACCTGAAGTAAGTGGTCAACTAGTGAGAAAAAATGATGTTAAGGCCCGTCGGTAGGAATTTGGGAACTGAAATTTAAACATCGCCAGAAATCTAAACCCGATATGGCTGAAATAACTTGCTCCTGGAAAAAGGCATGAAATGGCATTTTAGGAAGAAATTGTAGTTTAGTTTTTCCAAGCAAAGATACTCCAAAGAGATCACCCTATCTTGCTCTTCAGTGACACTGAGAAGACGAAGTGTCGATGTCAAATACGCCAATACATGTAATACAGTACTTAGTCTAGGACCTGTATATGAGTTTGTATGCGATTCATTTAGGACAGGTAATCTCAACTGTTTTAGGGTAAAATGACCATGGCGGTCAACATGGCATATGTGCGAAAACCTGAATCCGGGGCGAAAGTCCTGAAAATGACCCC